TTCTGATTCCAAATATACCATATATGTTGCAACAGAAAGGTTAAACGAAGGTAATGTAAAGAATAGCATATCACCGACTCCGTCATCATCATCATATATATATATGACATCCGAAGAAATCTCTTGGCTGCTTGTATTGACCATAATAGAATTCAATTCAGTTACACATGAGTGGCGTGCCAACACATTTTTAGAACAAATCAAATCAAATGAAACATCATTTATTTGCCAAAAAACAACACTTTACAAATTTGTGCTTTAATACATTTGAATGTAATCATTTGACAAAATGGACAGCCTCCTGATTATAAAACCGCTCTCATGAGAGTTCCTCTAAGAAGGCCCTCATGTGAGACATACTGGTAACTTAATACTAATACTAGCTTTTAAGTAGCGTGCTGCCGTGAAAATCAAAAATGTCATAATGGGAAACTAAATTTGAACTGTAGATACCTACGGGAGAAAACATTTAGACCGGCATTCTCCCTAGACAAACAGGAATCTTTCAGGGAGATTCGCTAAGCCGTATGGCAATGAACCCCTTGCTTAAATTCCACTGCATATGGATTTCGCCTTACAAACTGATGCAAAGGTGGTTCCCATAAGCCAAGAAAAATCTACGAATAAAGTAGTGTCGCAAAATGTTTTGCTTCCGCCAGGATATACAGAATTGGACACCCGATTCTAGATTTTACAGTGCTATTCGGGAAAAAGGGCTATCGCGTTTATTCCGAATTTTACAAGAATAGATTACGGATATATAAAGGCCGGTATTCGTTAGTAGCTTTTAAGTTTAAGATTGGCGGTGATAAGTTTTAGATGGTAATTGTTGTAAGAGTTGTAAAGAGTTAAGTTGTTTGAGTTAATTAGAAAAGTAATTAGTGTCAGTGTTTAGTAATGTCGAATAAATTTTCGTTGTGTTAATTGAACTTTGATTTTGAATAAACGAACCCAAGATTTCCGTCACGCACCCGAGAGTTGTGACATTGGTGTCAGAAGTGGGATATAAATTCGACGATCGCAAAGTGACATCCGATTGCAGAATAGTGGGGACATTAGTGTGGACACTAAGTAAACACTGGGACGGACAGTTAGTCAGTGCAAGCAGTGACAATCACAAAAAGAGACTGAACCGATCGTGTAAATTACCTACCCCGGAAGTGACTGAGTACCCAATTTTGGCTGTGATAGTGAATTTTCAAGTAAGTTCTTGGAAAATTATATCGAATTTGTGACTTCACCGAACTCCAATCAATAACCAGGAAAGATATTTGAAGTAAAAGCTGAGGTCGAAGCTGGTGTCCAGCAATTATTGAGACAAGAAGTTGAGGACCAAGTTCAAGAACTTGAAGATAAGATGAAAAAATTAGAAATACATTACATCAATCCTTGTACTGTTGGAGCATCATTCTCTAGTATGGAGATAAAACAACAAATTTTTGACGGTTCTACGTCCTGGACCATGTATATCAGACAATTTGAAGCTGCTGCAAACACCCAAGGATGGGACGATCAAGAAAAAGCTACAGCACTAATATTGGCGCTACGAGAACCTGCCTTAGATCTTCTTCAGGCAATTTGTTCAATCTACGAACAGAATTACCAGCATCTAAGTCAGACGTTAGAATTGCGCTTCGGAGACCATTACAGACAAGAAGTATTTAGAACTCAAGTAAAATCAGGGATTCAAAAACCCGGCGAGAGTTTATAAGAATTTGAATTGGAAGTTAAAAGGCTAGTGAGTTTGGCATTACCTGCAGCTGGGGAAGACATGCAGGAATGGATGGCAGTATCTATTGATGGTCTCAGAAATTCTAAGATCCAGGAGAATCTGAGACTGAAAATGTCTAAGTTCAGACAAAGTAGCGAAGTCCTTGTCCGAGCATTGGAACTGGAAGCTATCTTTGGTACCTCACGACCCAGAATACGAGCAGTGTCCATTGAAGTCCCAAACTATCCCAAAGGATAAACAATCATCAAAAGAGGATGGTAAGCTTCGAGAATGTTGTGAGTAATTTCATGAAGAGAATTGAGAAACTAGTACCAGAAGTTAGACGAATGGGAAACGACTCCAAACAAACACCAACACCAAGAAACCGAGTAAAATATTACCGTTGCCATAAGGTTGGACATAATGCAATCGGATTGTAGACTAAGGATTTCCTCTCCATCTAGGGATCATTCTCAACTCTTTTGGAGATCTAGAGTCGCCAGCTCTAAACATCGACCTGGAAACCTGCATAAATAGAAAATGGTTTACTGAAAAGAGTTTGGTAAACTGCCGATGGGAAAACAACTAAGAGCCAACCATTTAGTTATGCCGGAAGATTGACAGAAGATGTATTAAAAGAAATACATGACGGAACCTTAGGGGCACATTTTGGAGTTAACAAGACTTTGGACAAAATTCAGTTACAGTTTTACTGGGTCCACTATCATGACGACGAAAATGCGACATCTGTGCTACCAGTGAAGGCCCTAAACTAAGATCTCGGGGGCCCATGAAACACTAGGTACATCGTCGGACTCCCATTTGGAAGAATAGCGTTAGATGTTGCCAGACCCTTCCCTGCGTCAGAGCTTGGTGATAAATACATATTGGTTATCATGGATTACTTCAGTACATGGCCAGAAGTTTCCGCTATTCCCAATCAAGAAGCCATCACTATTGCTCAGGTGCTAGTGGACGATGTTTTTAGTTGTCATGATGTGCCACTAGAGTTGCATTCAGTTCAGGGACGAAACTTCGAATCTGCCCTCTTTAAGAAAATTTGTGAGATCATGGGTATTCATAAGACAAAGACAGCAACTTTACATCCACAGTCTGATGGCATGGTAGAACGATTTAATAAGACCATAGAGGAACACCTGACAAAACTGGTCGCAAAGAACCAGCGAGATTGGGACAAACATTTGCCTCTATTTTTAATGGCTTACAGAGCAACAGTTCACAGGTGAAAGTACAGCTACAATCGTTTTTTGGAAGTGAACTCAGATTATCTTGCGATCTGATGTTTGGAATATCTGAAGAAGAACGAAAAGAAATTCGAGATTATGCCGATGAAGTAAGGGTACGACTTCTAGGGATACATGATTTAGCTCGAGAGCACATTAAGCTGGCCAGTGACCGAATGAAGACCAGACGTATCTGGTCTTCATTCGTGGTGCTTTCAAGTCGTAACTTGAAAGCCAATTCAGCCAGACAGAAGGTGATTTAGTGTGGCTGTATAATCCAGCAAGAAAGAAAGGGGTATCTCCGAAATTGTCTTCAGCATAGGAAGGGCCCTACAGAATAATCAAGAGTATTAATGATTTGGTTTACCAAGTTCAGCGCAACACCAGGGGTAAGATGAAAGTTGTACATTCGGACAGTTTTTCGAAATATCATGGGCGCGAAGTTGTACGGGACGATCATCCTTAAGAGTAGGGCAGTATCGCAAAATGTGGCGCTTCCTCCAGGGTGTACAAAATTGGGCAGCTGATTCTAGATTTTACAGTGCTATTCGAGAAAAAGGGCTACCACGTTTATTCTGGATTTTAAAAGAATAGATTAAGGATATATAAAGGCCGGTATTAGTTAGTAGTTTTCAAGTTTAAGATTGGCTGTGATACGTTTTAGATATTGATTATTCTAAGAGTTGTGAAGAGTTAAGTTGTTTGAGTTAATTATTGAAGTAATTGGTGTCAGAGTGTTTGTGGAATAAATTATTGTTGTGTTAATTGGACTTTGATTTTGAATAAACGAACCCAAGATTTCTGTCACGCACCCGAGAGCCGTGACAATAAGTAGAGCGAATTGATCATTGCACCATGAAAGATAAGCTAACAAGCACATCTTAACATCAAAAATGTGATTGAGCAACTCATTCGAGATTCTCAGGGGAATTAACACGGATATACACTCCAATGAAAGGCCAGAACATGTATAACAAAATCATGGAAGCATTACCCTCGTTCTTCGACAGAGCGGTCGACACTACTTTTTTTTTTAAGCCGAACATCTATCACCGCATCGTGCCCTGATGTATCCACACCACTACGACTAAAGGAGCTTGACCTGCACGATAAAAACAGTCTGATGGAAATAAAATGGATGGAAACAAGGTAACTGTTCTCATACTCTGGTGTCAAACTACTGGTTTTGCTCTGGACAAACGTTCCCAGTGACAGAGAGCTTCTGGCTTTTCAGGGCGACGACCTTCGGACGCAGGACTATCTACTATATTATTAGTGACTATGTAGACATGGATGCCATACCACAGGCACGATCCAGCACGTAACTGGCGGATGCCAGATATTCGTTGCAACTGAGTACAAGGAGATAGATACACGACATTATCAAGAGCTGACAGATAAAGTGCCTTATAAAATACTTACCAGAACGCATTCTTAAAAATATTGGATACCTACAAGCTATATTGAGACCATACTGAGCAAATGTCAAGTTCCTAATTTTCAAACACAACAAGCTAATAGCATCTTTCCTTCGACCCATTCTTTAGGTTTTCCAGACTGTGATACTTTCTGGAATTTGGGTTAGTTTTATCGAATGAAAATCATATTCAAGCCCGAGAAAAGAAACTGCTGAAACTGGAAAAAATGAGTCTTCTTTAAAAATAGTGTATTACTCAGCGATTCGGAAAATTTATTAGACATTCGACATTGTGCTGAATAAATCATTTTCATAAAATTGAATAGCACTTCCGTTATTTAATGTTCTGGTGATTCAGAACAAATCTATTAAAATCCATACGGAAAAAATGTATCTATAACTATGCGAAGCTTCTTGTATGAATTAGAAATAAATTCATATCAAATAGATCACGAAAGAAAAACTCTAAATAACATGTAAAATATAAGTGAAAAGAGGTTTTTGAATTTTACTGCTAATGATAATCTGGATGGCACCAAAATAACAACGGTGGTCGACTTGATTAACTTAGTAACTTTTAAAATAATTTTCTTGGACAAAACTTGAACAACAAACTACTGTAACTCACCAATAACGTTTATAAGGGCCAAAACTTCACAGAAGTAATAACGGTACGCCCACCAATTGTGGAACCTCAAATTCTCCCATAAATAATCAATCATCAGCTTTTTTTTCTGTTTCTTTTCGATGTCCGAACATACAGCCACATCCAAGTCCATCATTAGGGCGCAAATTTTGCCTCCCTCCCACGATTTCCAAAGCCATCTTGGGGTGTAGAATAAAATTGCCTGAAAAAGAACTTCAATATAATTTTTATGTAGTGCTTTAGACCAATTAAAAAATATTAAATTGAAGTGTGTAGTAAAATAACTGATAGTTATTAACTAAACAACATTTTTATTAACCTCCAAAGCGGGTTTATTAAAAACATAAAACGACAATACTCGGGTAGTTTCGGATAAAATTATATAAATCATAAATATCCTATTTTTGGAATTTGTGTAAACTAACTGGAAACAATCAGTTTACGTTTAAAACTAGTGCAAGATAAACCTAATAATAATATTTAGATAATCGTTTTTGATATTCCCACCTCCTCTATTACCTTAGGAAATTCGAACTAGCCCGGAAAATAATTCGATCTCGTGAATATATGCCCCTCATAAAACGAATTTGTTCTTATCCAGTTTTTCTGGCTTATCATAGTTTTGAACATTGCCAAACTGCCGTATAAATTGTGTCGTTGCCGCCCTTTCTATACTGCCGCTTTCTTACATCTGGAATTTGCATGTGAAAAGTGACAATTCAGATAAATTGAACTGTATTTGCAGTTACTGTTGGTTAAAGCTCCAGCCAAGTTGTGTCTGGAAAAATTTTTAGGAACTAAATGTTGGAAGTTCAGTTAAAAATTACGATATGATAAAAATCTTCAAAAGTTGCAGCATGTTTTGCAAAAAGATTAACGGCCCGTAAATATTGACACTAGAACTTTGGAAATCACAACAAACGTTTGAATTTGATGGCTCGCAGTTTCACTCCAGCTGAGAACGAAATGTATATATTTTCTAGCAATGTAAGTCAGGATATTTTTGGAATGAGATTTTTATTTGAAAGATAACGAATAACTAGACTACATAAAACAGAAATTTTGGAAACTTAACTTTAAAGAACTCTCATTTATAAAATTATGAAATGGAAAGAAAATTACTACGTCATGATATACCTACATCGTAAACTAATTGCAGTGCAGTAATATTATTTCCGTATTTTAGTGGTACAAAATCATTTCTTAAACATCAATACCTATTTGGTTTGTTGAATGTATGAGAGGATCTATAATCTATAGTAATACACACAAATACCACATTAAATATCGGACATCAGAAAAACACCATATCACCAATGTTAGGGAGCGAACGCGAGCGACCATTGATTCCCGAGCTCTCAAATCCATCAAGAGAAATTGTGAAAGACTCGTTGCCAATGGCATGATCATCGATATAAGGATATCAAGATCAGTGGCCCGTCACGACAATGTTCCCAAGGACTCTAGAGGAGATTTAGTGAATGATTATCGATGAACCATTATAACATTGGAAATTGGCAGCACCGAAATGAAGGTAGAAGTGAAGGTGCGAATGTCCTAAAAACTTGTGTTATTTGGAATATACAGCATTTTCTATGGTAAATACAAGACAGCCAAAATGGAGCAAGTTTATCAATAATGGTCCTGGATAAAAAAAATCAAAGATTAGAAACAAGTAGCCTGAAGACAGAAAGAAAGACAAGAAGATGAATTTGGAAGAATGAAAAACAAGACGAGCAGGACCGGGAGAGAAATTATTGTTATTATAATTATTATTATAAACTGCAACTGGAGAGCCAATTTCTATAAATTTAAATGCCCTATATTTTCAGATTCTCTCTGAAATAATAACCAATGGATTAAACAAACATGTTCAAAAACATTGTAAGTGTCACAGAAAGTCGCTATTGAAATATTTCTTTAAGACATCTTTATACGCTTTCAAGTGAGTTAATTTAAAAGTTTATTTCTTACAGCTCATTGGCTTCGAGCCAAAAATTCCGTGTATCTAATTATTGTTGCACGAAAGACATATTATTCTTGAGAGCCATATGGCACCTACCTACTTTGTGGAGTAATAAAATATATATTTGAACCAAAAATATACTCTTGCCTTGAAACTATGCCTTAAGGAAAAGTGGTGGTAAATGTTTGAAACGATATAATATTTTGGGTTCTGATAGGTTTACAAAACACACCTCAAAGCAAAAATAATTGTTATTACAGCAAACTTGACGCAAGGATTTGAAGATTTTCTCCACATAAATAAATTCAAAGTAATAATGGCGTTTTTTTAGTATTTTTGATGTGATTCTAGTTGAAGATGGGATTTTCTTTACTTTTTAAAACCGACACGCTCTAATAACTTTCCAGAGAAAAACACGCAGAAGTGAGCAGCAGGCTAGGGATAGGTACAAAGTTCCCTCAGAGCAATCGTCCTATCGGCGTTCGACGAGGTCACTCGACCTAGTTTTGAACACTAGTATTAATAAAAGGATAACGAATGGCTTTAGGTACCTGGTATCTGAATGGCTACGTTAAGAAAGAAAGTTTCGGAACCCACTCTATGAAATCCGCAGGAAAGCACGTAGCTGGACCATCCCGATTCCGCTCTACTAATGCTCCAACCTCCTGACAGCCCAAGGGTTGCTACTACCCTGTTAGGTGCTTCTTTCATTCTCCACGCGTTCTTACATACCATCAGCTTCATACCTGCTATCCTTAAGGTGACCAGTTGATTTCGATTTATTCCGATTACGTAGGCATACAAATAGATCAGCAGTAAATGATTATTGAAAATTAAAATAAAATTTCTTTCAATTGCATAAATTGTTTATTAGTATACATTTTCAACATACCTACGTATTTAAGATTTATTTTGGCTACATGCTATGAATTAGAAGATGCGTTGAAAAATTTTACGATAGTTTTACGATTTACATCCATAATCATAAAACCGTTTAGAGTGGCACCTAAATGCACTTCTGGAGTCCCCTTATCAATTTTTGAACTATTCAGGAGGAATTTGGAGTAGTGCCGCATAAAGGTAGCCAAAAATAAATACAAACTACGTATTCTGAACATTGGGAGATTTTTGCTTCTCCATTCAACGAAAACACAGTAGGTATCAAACATTAATATAAAAGTTCGGAAGAAACTCAAAGCTCACTGCATTAACACGTTTTATGCAGTGAATCAGGCATTTTCAAAATAAGAATATCGATAGCAACATTAATTAGTTTGTTTCTTAACAATATTCTAATTTAAATATGCATCTGACTGATTGAACTTTACATAAAATCTTATTGGTCGTTGTAGTGCAATTGTATTTCTTCTTCTAGAACAGGTAGGTATCTCAAATATCTATAGTTCTATCAAAGACAACCGGTATAGTCCAACAAATACCATTTTAAAGTCACGTGATTTTTCTCTATCCTTGTTGAATACATCTTTAACAGCGGTGATAGTGAAATTGACAAAAAAATTGATGTCTAATTATTGTTCATAATATTCTTACCTGAAATAGAATCCGTCACTGTCATAAATAAGTTTGTCAAAGTTATTTTCGAAAATGATACAACGAACAAACTTAGCTAATAATTTCGACTATATTAACCTTTTTCCAACTCGAAAAGAAGCAAATAGAAAACGGGTACCCAATTCAACTTCAGAAGGTATTACAATGGACAGCAGATGCGACAAAAGTGAGTCTCGCAGCAATTGCAAGTATTAAAATTCCCATCTGATTGGTCAATACTACTTCAGAAACGCGTTTGTGAAATGCTAGTGGGAACATATCTTAAAATTCAATAGTAATTAACCACCAGTAGCTTTTTGTAGGTGATATCGACGACATAATCAATGGACATACGTTTTTTGCCACCAATCACGTGACATGTTGGTTTTTAAATTTTTAACTTTTCTGATCACTACCGGCGATTTCATTCCCATGATATTTCGTCAATCTGTCCAGATGTACAACTTCCGTCTTACTTCTGGTGTTGCGCTTAACTCGATAAACCAAATCATTAATCCTCTTGATTATTCTGTTGGGTCCTTCCCATGCTAAAGACAATTTCGGCGACACTCATTTCTTTCTTGTTGGAATATACAGCCACACTAGATCACCTTCTTGAAATTCGGCTGAGTTGGCTTTTAAGTCGTATGTGGTCTTCATTCGGTCACTGGCCAGCTGGATATGCTCCCGAGCAAAATCATGTATCCCCAGATGTCGTGCCCTTACTTCGTTGGTATGTTCTCGAATTTCTTTTCGTTCTTCTTCAGGTATTACGACTACCTTTGTCAGGTGTTCCTCGATGGTCTTATCAAATCGTTCTACCATGCCATCAGACTGTGGATGTAAAGGTGTTGGCTTGTCTCAGGAATTCCCATGATCTCACAAATTTTCTTAACGATGGCAGATCCGAAGTTTCGTCCCTGATCTGAATGTAACTCTAGTGGCACACCATGACGACTAGAAACTTCGTCCACTAGCACCTGAGCAATAGTGATTGCTTCTTGATTGGGAATAGCGAAAACTTCTGGCCATTCACTGAAGAAATCCATGATAGATTCGGGGGAGTCGTTTCGGCTTTTCAGCCGCTCAGCACTGCTACCTTTGCAGATATTTTGAATCCATGATAACCAAGATGTATTTGTTACCACGCTCTGACTCAGGGAACGGTCCGGAAACACAAGTTTTTAACGTCTGCATGATAGTGAACCCAGTAATTGCATATGTTCAAGCTTATTGCAAACCTAGGTGTTATTGTTTGTTTTGAGTCCTTTCCCATTTGTCTAACTTCTAGTACTAGTTTCTCCATTTTCTCCATAAAATTTCTCATAACTTTCTCGAAGCTACCATGCTCTTTTGACGATTGTTTATCCTTTGGGTCTTTAATGGACACTGCTCGTATTCTGTGTCGTGAGGCACTAATGATTACTTCCAGTCCTAATGCTCAGACAAGGGCTTCGCTACTTTTCCTGAACTTGGACATTCTCAGGTTTTCGTGGATTTTGGGATCCATTCATGCATGTCTCCCCCAGCTGCAGGAAACGCCAAAATCACTAGCCCTTTAACTTCAGATTCGAATTCTTATAAACTGTCGCCGGGTTTTTGAATTCTCGATTTAACTTGAGTTCTAAATACTTCTTGTCTGTAATGGTCTGCGAAGCGCAATTCTAAAGTCTGACTTAGATGCT